ATTAACGAATCCACCAAGATGAAAATGGGCTTCATCACTAAAGAGGATTTTTGTGAAAAATCTTCATCGGCTTGTCTTTGCTCATGCATCCAATTGACGAATGTACGGCGTTCCAAATGGTCAGCAGGTTTCAATTCTTGTGTCAATTGAATTTTGTAAAGCATATAGAGATAAATCTTTTATCAAAATTCGGTGTAACGTTGTTATGGAGAGGTTCAATTCCTGCGCGCGATGACGAATAGAGGTGTCTGGATTTTCGGCCACATTCTCGTGCACTGCAGCAATGTTTTCAGCTGAACGGCGTAAACGAGCACGCAATGGTGTTTTCACATCTGCCACCGACCCAATGAATTTACGAACAATTTTTCCAATTGCACTCTGTCGAAGTGAGCGAAATGCATTTCTGTTTGAACGTCCATTTTCGTAATAAGCTTCGATAACTTTAACACGTTGTTTGATTGTTAATCTTTCCATGATTGAAATTGCCAAAGACTTAAGCTGTTAAGAAAAAAATCATTAGATGCTCAAACTTAATTCGCATTTAAAATCGGCCCATAATATTAGAACACCTTATATAAACTTTCGAAATACCTATTTTACCTGCGCTGAAACAACGTCCCACCCCTGGTGCTATTGGGAACCATTCAAAGGTCTCATTCACCGAGCAGCTTCAGATATTTGGGAATTTTATCCAAACAAAACCTTGTAGATAGAAGAGACTTCATCTTGGTTTCTGTTTTTCATCACAGCTTTTCACATCCTCCTTAACGTTTGCCCATTAATCTTATTTAATTATCTACAGATAATTAATTGATTTTTCTCCCATTCGGCGGAGGAAGCCCTCCAGCGTGTTATCCCGCAGACGTCGATTCTTGTCGGAGAGCGACTGATGTAGCCCATCGCCTCTACTTCCGTCGGCCCCGTGGTCTGGTAATGATTCGGTGACTCTGATACTACACCTTTTGTCTCGGGGACAGACTACCCTAACGTCAGCGCTTCTCTGGTGGCAGCCACCGGCGGACCTCTAGCGATTCGCCAATAGTAACATTGCCGAGACGAACACGCCGGCGGTTTGACAGCGGGCCAACAGGGTAAACACTAGTGGCATGCCACCTAGTGGCATATTGGTGGCTTGCGTGTAGGGTAGATGTCCTCTCGGTCTGTGTTTGACGTGAAATGATTGAATTATATCGATGACTCTTGTACAATACCTTATTAAGGTGCTGTGTTTTCTATCTCGGATTGTAATGTCTATATCAACTTGTGGCAATATTTATCAAACGTTCAGTTAGAAATTCATTGCAAACGAAATTCGTGGATTAATCAAGGATATTACCAAACTGGCAAAATGTTGTGTCTGATTTCGATCTTCAACCGGGTGCGTCTTTGTTGCGAACCGCGGCAAACTAAAAAAAAAAATGTCGCCTTCTGAGATGATTCTGGAATTTCCCCTGTCTCGGTAATGTCTTCCGACATTTTTTTTTTTCTTCGGGGGCGGGGTCTTCTTCAGTTTTCTTCCACATTTTTCCACCATTCTTTCTGATATTTATTCCATTGTCTTCGAAAGATTTTCCCGAGATCCAGACATTAATAACTCAAACATTACTAGTTAAGGAACCGGGCGTTTTTTTGCTAGGTTTCATAAAGCGTTCTTCTTTTCTCACAATCTGCATATTCTTTGAAACTGCCAATATTTTAGAAAATACTTTTTACCAAATAACTAAAAAAGAAATGATTGTTGCTTTCCATGCAAAAACGCAAATTAAGCGATGCAGACATATTTTTTAAATTATTAAAAGGAGGGCTGGCCCCTTTCGAATTTCATGATTTCCAACAAACAGGTCATTACAACTGCAGTGAGTTTAATACGTGCCCACTGTATCATAAAGAAATAAGACTCATAAGGTGTTGCGTCGATTAAACATTGCATAAGACAAGAGATAAACATAGATAGATAGATAATGAACACAGATAGATAGATAGATAGATAGATAGATAGATAGATAGATAATGATAGATAGATAGATAGATAGATAGATAGATAGATAGATAGATAGATAGATAGATAGATAGATAGATATGAATACATCATAGATATGAACACATTATAGATAGATAGATAGATAATGAACACATAGATAGATAGATAGATAGATATAAATCCATGAACAGACTGAAGTAAATATCATTAAAAATAAAAGTAGGGTAAAGGAAGAGGAAGACGTATGTCAGTGAAAAAAAAAAAAGAATTTATAAAAATTACGCAAGTCAATAAAAGTAATATATAAATAAAAACAGTGCATGCAATGAACTCAAGTGAAGGTTTTTTTTATTTTGGCGCCCCGGCAACACGAGGGTGGGGCCTTGGGTGAGATTCAAACTCGCTTCAACAGTAATGATCAACGAGACGAGCTTAAGAAGCTTGCGTGTGTAACAGGAAGTCTGACGAACAGATCGAAAAATGATGAAACCGGACGGCAAAAATGATGAAACCGGACGACTAAAAAAAAAAAAAAAAAAAAAACTCGATATAATTAAATCGAAAATCAACATGAGACGTGAGAAATGTAGCAGATATTTTCCGAACATTTATTTAAATTTTATTTCCTCCCGTGAAAACCTGAAATTTGCAACGATCTGATACGTTAACACGTCGATCTGGTTATTCAATTAGATAAAAAAAAAAAACTCTTTTTCCTAGTCAAAATTATTGTGTATTCATTAAAAATAAAATTAAATGACAGTATTACAAAAAAAGAAAAGACATTGTTCTGTTTTTTGTTTGTTTAACGATACGAATGTCATTCGGTGTCAACAAATTATTGCAAATATTTTGACAAAGCCAAAAAAAGAAAAGCGAAACAAGGCATTTACTGTATTTACTTTTTTTTAAGTTGAGGGCCCGAGCGCGAACACCCGGGCAAGGAACAAAAATTGTCCCCAGCCCGCGCAACCGTTGGTTGGACTGGCCTCGGTGCGAGCACCGATCCCTCTCCCTGGTGCCATGAGAGGGCGCGGCCTCGGGCAGCTGTTGTATGTATGTTTTATAAAATATTTTCATTTTTCAAAACGCGGTCAAGATATTGTGTCCATGTTCAAAGTTAATATTATCAAGTGTTTTTGTTTTGTTTTTTGTTTTTTAATAATGCTTCCATTATTTTTAACCTTTTTTTGCATGTAGATGATGCTGTTATATTAATGTTGTCAACAAGTATGTTACGAATAGTGTCGGGTAGGTCTCCATGAATATTTAAATAAAATTTAATTGAGCTATTGTCAGAAAGGTGTAGAGTGAGTCTGCGTGTCATGTTGTAGTGTGGCCTATATAATTATTCACGAATTTTGACTGATCAGGAATACAATTCCTTAATGGGCATTTAAATTCGTAAATAATATTTGCCCTATTTGTTCTAGGAGGTGAATTATTATTTTTTTAACTGTTCCCCTAGGCTGGGTACCTCTCAGTATAATTTTCCTTAGTTGCGTCTCTGTCCTTTTACAGAGAAGCCCCTGAGAGGACTCTGCCCAAAGACAGAGACGCAACTGAGAAATGATAAGTAATAAACTTTTCGAGAGGAATTTACACACTAATGTTTCGCTTTAAAAAGCGAAACAGTAGAGCAGCTATTCTCAACCGCCCTGTCTCCGAACACTAGTCTGCCGCGCGATCACGTGTCACGGCATACATATATACACTAGAGTTCAAAAGTTTTAGGTCATCTCTGGTAGTTTTCTAAATTGGCCCCAAAAGCAGTTGTTTTGCACTTTTAAGAGAAAATTATTAAACATGGTTAAAAAAAAAGTGAGACATGATTTTTTATTAGAAATTTTATTATAACAAAAACAAAAAAAGCATATTTTATTTATTTATTTTATTTTATTAATTTATTTTATTTTATTTATTTATTTATTTTATTCTATTTATTTATTTTATTTTATTTTATTTATTTTATTTTATTTTATTTATTTATTTATTTTATTTTATTTTATTTATTTATTTATTTTATTTTATTTATTTTATTTATTTATTTATTTTATTTTATTTATTTATTTATTTTATTTTATTTATTTATATTATTTTATTTTATTTTATTTATTTTTTTGTTCTCGTCAAAATATCCTTCTTGACAGCACAAATTTTTGGCATTCGTTGCAAAAGTTTATCAAAATATAAGTTTGATAATTTATTCCATTCTTTTTTTAATGACTCTAAGAACTCTTTTTTTTTTTTTTTTTTTTTCATTCTCCTGTCAAGTTCATCCCACGCTAATTCTGAGCGTGCCTTCAAACTTTTGAACTGTAGTGTGTGTGTGTGTGTGTGTGTGTGTGTGTGTGTGTGTGTGTGTGTGTGTGTGTGTGTGTGTGTGTGTGTGTGTGTGTGTGTGTGTGTGTAGTAATGGTACATCGTTAATATTTGAATAGATGAATAAGTATTAAACTTTTATCCCATATTAGCTAAAAAAAAAAAAAGACTTTACCGGTTTTATTTGCAATGTTCTACTTATTTATGTGAATTAGGCTTGTCAACTCTAAATAACATGAATAAGAAGCAAGAAAGACTACACTCAACTGATGAAGAAATAAGGGTCTGCTTATCGCACATTTGACCAAACATTGAAGAAATTGAGAAAAAAACGTCTCACACTTTTTAAAATAAGCTTCACAAATAGTTAAATAGAATCAAATTGAAATTCGAAAATTTTTAACGATGCAAGTGAGGGGGGTGACTTTTGTAATTTTTTATTTTAATATTTAAAAATGAAAAAAGATTTTTAATTATAATATTTTAACTTAGTATTTTTATATAAAACTTTTCTGCTACAAACATTTAAGAACTCTGTTGCTATACTCGTAGTTGAATTTATTTAATTTTGGTCGCAATTCTCTTATATAAAGACTTTCCAGTATTTTAAGTTTTTGTTTATTTTGATGAAGTACTAATGTACTTTCGACTAATATCTGTCTAAAATGTAAATTTAGACATGAGTGTTCCTTTAAATGTTCTGAGATTGAACTATGCTCATTCAAGTGAAACACAAGCCTACTCGTCAACGTCGTCGTTGTAAAATTTGGAACAAACAGTGTAAAAATATTTTAAATTTACGGAGCACATCCACAGATATTTTAACCCCCGGAAGATAGTCTCAGATGAGATTGAAAGTACTTGGTAAGATAAAAATTATTGAAAGAAAATTTAAGTATTTTTCTTAATCAATTTTCTACATCCACCAAGAAATTAAATTGTGAACTTGAAAGGATTAAAACTAAAGTAAATAGAAATAATATGTCTAAATTGTTTAACCAAATCTGCTTGAATTAAAATATGCTTGCTATATATATATATATATATATATATATATATATATATATAGTGGACATCCATATTTGAGTGGACGCTCCGTTTATTTATTAAACATTATATTTATTTATTTTCGTTTACCGGGCTGAATATTCAAGAAATCTTATTAAAGAAAAATACGAGCTCTCCAACAGGATTCGGAGGGAGCTGCCGTTAGATCCGACTCAGCTACGAAGAACATTTGCCGCTCAGGCAAGACTGAATAGCGCCTTTAAACGAAATCCTCCTTGTCATAGATTCTCGAAACAGTTTTCGTATCGTAACGTAAGCAAAGCAATTTTTAGAAGTAATGGATTTTTATTTATCGATCCGACAGATTTTTTTATTACTTAAACGCTATTTTATTTGGCACTCGTATCTGAGTAGAAGCTTCGTTAATTCATTTAACAGTATATTTATTTCCGTCTAGCAGTCTGGATATTCGAGAAATAAAAGGACTGTACAGCCTTGCTTGAACGACAAATGTTCTTTGTTGGTAAGTCAGTTAAAACAATGCGCACGGTTAGTATAGATGGAAATAAAACGGTGATTGATACATAATAAAAGAGTTAAAATTCATACCAATAATAAATATACATTTTGCTTCTCATCGTTTGGTACAACTCTTAGTTTTATGCATATGGCAATCGTCAGGCACGGGTTAAAAATGACTTTTCCGTTTGAAAACGATTAAATACCACAATCTACAGTGTGTGACGATGGTTTGGGATTTCTCTCTTGACGAATATGCGTTTTATTGCTGTTGTGCAATCATATCACATATACTAACTTTTCACACAAATTCTAATAAGAAAATGGTGTGGAGATGTTGTCAATTAACTACCACAATCTACAATACCTCATGAGTGGGTGCTGTATTTTTGGTAGGCCATTACAGTAGCCTGAATGACATTTCCTCGATAAACATCCACGCATTCCACTTTTCTCGAATGTGATCTTTAAGCAGCTTGTTGAGATGCACATCAAGTTGGTTTTTTTTTGTTTGTTTTTTTTTTGTTCATCATCATTGGCAAAACGAGGTGAGATATTGTCAATTAACTACCACAATCTACACTTACCGTTACCCCTACAAGGCTAGCAGGTGCTTTGTTTACAGTCAAAAATATCCCATGCTAACAATTTATCATAAATCACAGAATTTAAGATTCACATTTTATACTTGGAGTATAAGACGGTCCCATATTTTGGAGATAGTTTTTAAAATTAAAAAGTTGCCTTGTGTGCCGACAGACGGTGTATATATATATATATATATATATATATATATATAGTTTAAAAATTTAAAAATGCAAGTAGAAACAAGTGTGTTTTGTTGAATTATTTCTTATGTGTCAATTTATTAAAAAAATAATTTTCCTTATGATTTACTTTATTAAAAATAATTAAAAACAAAAAACTGGTTCATATTTTACATAATGTCTTTTCAAATGCATTATTTGAAGAAAAACGTTTACTAATTAAGGTTTGAATCCTTAATAAATTACTTTTATTCAGTTATGGTGCTGAGTTGTCTTGGTCCTGGGTTGTCCCGGCGCTCAGTCGGCGATGTTGAGTCGGCGGCGTTGAATCGGCGATGTTGAATCAGCGGCGTTGAGTCGGCGGTGTTGAGTTGTCCCTCCCCGCTTCCTCCCCATTATGTGTTCAAGGAATCTCAGCTGTCTTTTACTAATTCTGTTGCCATTTACTTTACGACTTCCTTGTTACTTACTCGTTGCGTCCGGCCACATTTCTGCTGCCTCTAGTTTTTGTCCTTATCCGTGGGGAGATTGTCCAGCATTCACTGCCATATAAGAGGATGGACATCACATAGCAATCCAGCACTTTTCTTTGTTTCTAACATTTTTTTTCCGTTTCTCAGAACCTTTGCTTAGCTTTTGGAATGCTTCTTTCGCTAACCCAATGCAAGTTCGGAGCTCAGTGCTACATTTTTCATCCTCTCTTGAAACGGTTCTGCTCCTGCTTGATGGTGACATCTCCAATTGCTAACCCGCATTTTGGGCTTTTTCTCATGAGGATAAACAGATTTTTTTTGTCTTCTTGCAGTTGATAGTCCTTTTTTTCTTGCTTTCTTCTACTACTTAACTATCTGTGTATCTGATGTCGCTAAGGTTACGCCCATCGATTATAAATCCCGTTAGGAT